TTCCTTCCTTTTCCACTGCTGGTGGTGAGGAGTGTTCTTTGGTACATTATTATTACCATGATTAGAGTTTCTTTCCCGATCACGACCATGACCACGATTGGGGCCACGACCTTTTTCACGTTTAGCCTGGTGGAAGTTCGTCTCATTCACTTCAGGGAATGGACAAGAACCAGTAGGTCGACTTTCATGATTTTTCATTAATAGCCCATTATGTTGCTCGGCTATAAGAAGATGTGAGATAAGTTCAGAATACTTTTTAAATCCCATCTCTCGATATTGCTGCTGCAGGAGCATATTCGAGGCATGAAAAGTGGTGAAAGTTTTCTCCAACATATCATGATCAGTAATATTATCACCACATAACTTCAATTGGGAAATAACTCTGAACATAGCAGAATTATACTCACCGATAGATTTAAAATCTTGTAGTCTTAGATGAGTCCAATCATATCGTGCCTGTGGAAGAACGACCATCTTCAGGTGGTCATATCTATCTTTCAAATTATTCCACAGTATGACTGGATCTTTAACAGTAAGATATTCCATTTTCAGGCCCTCATCAAGGTGATGGCGTAGGAATATCATTGCTTTGGCACGGTCTTGGTTTGATGCCTGATTTTTATCTTTGATGGTGTCTGCCAGACCCATCGCATCAAGATGAATTTCAGCATCAAGCACCCAAGACATGTAGCTTTTGCCCGATATATCCAGGGCTACAAATTCAAGTTTAGAAAGATTTGACATTATTTAGGAAAAGAAAGTTCTTACCTCAGGTACTCTCAAAATATTTGCTCGAGATGGCAGAGTCTCGTGCTGATAACGTGTTATAAAATAAAGACTATAAAGTAAAGACAAGTATAGAGAGAAACTGATATATTATTCGAATTCAAACTGATGTACATAATGAACTGAAATCTCTTCTATTTATAGAAGAAAGGAAGCTGTTGTGTAAGCTGCTACTATACCAGATATGGATAATCTTCTACTGAGAGCAATGTTTATCCATAACGGAGTACTGAAAGGATAAGCTTATTATACCCGGTATGGATAATCTTCTATCGGGGGTAATGTTTATCCATAACCGGGTATCGAAGTGATAAGCTTCTTCAGGAAGCTTATTTCCAATAGAGTACTTAAATAGATAAACATATTTACGGTGGAGTCCCATATGGATAAGCTTCTTCAGGAAGCTTATTTCCAATAGAGTACTTAAATAGATAAACATATTTACGGTGGAGTCCCATATGGATAAGCTTCTTCAGGAAGCTTATTTCCAATAGAGTACTTAAATAGATAAACATATTTACGGTGGAGTCCCATATGGATAAGCTTCTTCAGGAAGCTATTTACAACGGAGTACTAAATGAACATCCATAATATAATATATTTATAACAGAAAAGAAAATATTCTCTCAAAAAATAAATAGCCCATCCATTTTCTAATATAAAATCTAGTTAGTATAAAATAGAGGTTCATGCAATAGTCAACATTGTCACACCTCCTTTTTACCACCCGAAGGCAATATAAAAGAGTTTTTCCAACTAAAGCGACATAAATCGAAATGGGATTATTTATTTTATTTTTTAAGAGTCGTCACTTGGAATAGTTTATTTGGTGTCCCAAGTCACCAGTTTATTTTAAAATCCCCAATCGAGAAAATTTTATTTTTTAAAGCCTGCGAACCAGAAATTGTAGATAAGAAATTTCGCTAACCCGGGAGAAGGTGGTAGGCATTCCCGGGTTCCGTGATTCTAGCACGGTCGCTTAAACTATTAAAATTAGCCTATTATCCGATTTATTACATGTTTTAACCTATTGTGCATTTTTAGCTTTATAACCACCTTTTAATTATTTTAAACCGCTTTTAAGATTTATGGAATTATTTTTTGGACAAGTTACGATTGTCGTACACTTGTTCGTTTTGGAACACGCCGCAAACCGCGTTACATGAAATGCACCCGCGATTTGCGACATGTCTATTTTTAATATTGTTGAAGATTGAAGTTGGCTCACATGAAATGTACACCCGGATTTTAGTAATTAAAAATCACAACTACGTCACGGGAACCGTACCCACAGCTATGATGAATTAACGCACTCAAAGCAACTACGACGATTCAATTTTCAATAGCAACATTTGTGAGGGCCATGAATGATTTAATTTATTTAAGGCACACCTCAAACCTTTTTCTATAAGTGTTAGTTCTTGATCTAATCTTATAAGGGTCATGGATTATAAATTTGTTTGGCATGACACACCTCAATTTATTTCAAAGGAGTTTATTATTTGAAGTTTTTATGATCGGGTAACATGAGGGGGTAAACATCATAACTATGTCACGGGAATCGTACCCATAGTCACGTTGGTTTATTTATTAATCGTGCCTAAAACAAATTACGATGTTCATGATTCTCCTAAAACTAATTTTGAGATTATTGTAAGGTTGTGAATTATGGAAATTATCGTGAGAGGTTGACAAATTAAACAAAGGTAAAGACAATATAACGAAAGCAGTGTACACATCATTATTCTATGCTTATCTAATCAGGTCCAGTCAAAATTCATATTGTTTACTACTTTACATGAAAACCAACCAACTAAAGAAATAAATCAAATTAAATTAATTTCATGAATCAGTAAGTTAGTCATATAAGCACAAACTCATCTCCGAAAATCTTTGTAAAAATTTCACCACCTAATGTGGATTACTTAAAATCCCCAAACTCAGGCGAGAAAAGCACTAAGAAACACGACACCCAACTCATCAAATGATCTTAGAATAACCAAAATCAATCAGAAAATCCAACTAACCCATTAAGTACTAAAAATCAATAATCCCTAACATAGAAGCAAACTGCCAAATAGCTCACGGCTAGAAATAATTCGAATGTTCCATTTTAAATCTCAAGAAATACTCAAATTCATGAACTAACATAATGAGATAAGTATAAGAAACGGATCTTCTTAAGCGAATTATTCGATTAATGGAACTCAGAGTAACATTTATGTTCAGCCGAAAAAAGCAAAATCAGAATTTGTCCTAAAAATTGCAGCGACGAGGTGCCAACGGGAACAGAACCTCGAATAGAGCCTTGCGCAGGCGGAAGGAACAACGATATCACAACAATTCGAGAGATGACAAATCGAACGAATCTTAATTGTGGAACCACGAAAATCAACAGCTTTGGCTTCCAACTCTAAATCCTAAAGGGAAATGGGGTTTCTGCGTTGAGTACAAGCATTTGTTTTATTGCCAGTTCAAGTGGCTTTCATCGATCTGGATGAGGAGCTTGAATTTTCTCCTTTGGACTTAAAATTCGGTCTTGTGAAGGATGTGCAAGGCGGAAGAGAAGCTGTCCATTTTTTTAGAGAGTGTAGGTCTAGGTGTTAGAGTCTAGGTATTTTTTAGGCTAATAGGGGTATGAGTTTGGTGTTATTGGGCCTTAAAATTGGACCAAAAACTAAAATATAATTAGACTACAAGATTAAAATGAGACAAACTAACCAAAGACTAACTCTTCCTACAAAATATGAAACTAGTCTTAATTAATTGAACTAAACTATATTGAAACAATTTTTTGTGTTTTCAAGATTATATGAAAATAAAGATAAGGTGCTATTTTTGTATATATATTTTATTTAACTTTTTAAAAAAATACGCAAGCTAAAATATTTTTGTATTTTTCATTTTTTGTGATAAAATAAAGCAAAAAGAGTCAAAATTAGTTGAAATAACTATATTAGGCCTAAATTAAATATTTACACGCTAAAATATATAAAATATTGGGAAGAGTCAAAAATCACATGTCTACAAACATTATAAAGGCTGTTATCGCGTGGTCAAATATTTTGCCCCTGCTGTTAACAAAGAAAAACTGACTTGTTGATGTAAATGCTGGGCCGTCAAATAATCAAATTTAATTTAAATTAAGTTGCACAATATGATGACAATGCACTTCTATATTTCTTTCAGAATGACTAATAGGGGTTTTACTGCGAAACGCTTGATGTGTTGAAATAGATCATGGATAAATTTAGGCGTCTTTTGGTTCAAATACAAGTTATGAAAGAATTAATTATGTAGAGATTCTATAATCAAAGATCAATAATGTAGGAATTGTAATATAGAGCTGGGATTAGTAATGCACGGATAATTTGTTATTGGATGTTTGATTTGCTGTATTAAGAAATTAGTTATGAAGATCATGAGGATGTTTATGTTTAGTTAGTTTAATCCATGTATTGCTAATATTGTATTCTTACTCTACATTATATCCCGTATAAAACAATGCATAGATACCTAAATAACTTATGCACATATTATTTTATGATGAAAATCAAAATAGTAACCAAACGATGTATAAAACAATGCTGAATTTTACACAATGATCATTCCTCCTAGAAGCCATCCAGACAACGACCGTTCTAGCTCAGTTGCATACCCTGAAGCTTAAAAGCAAGAAATAACATCATGCCAGCGACCAATGCCACTATTGCAGTACAACCCATACCGATGGCACACTGTGAATCTCAAGCATACACGCTATGCTACATATGAATAAACATCAGATTGCATGAAGCAAATCAACAGCACCATGCTACTCCTTCATAACACAAACAACAAATTCAAGACAAGTCCCAAAAGGGAAGGTGTCAGCATTATGTTACTCCACTTGTACAGGAAGAAATACAATCATGTCATCTTTTTAACCCATCAGCAGATCTAAGAAATGAGAAATGATGTAGCAGCGACCTTGTCTTTGCCATCAGCAGATCTGAGAAATGAACTTCCTTGTTGATGAACTTGACCTGTAGCTCATCAGTTTCATAAGCATAACTTTAACTAAGAAACGAAAGATTTGAGGATGCAGATTGCAGCAGTTTAGTGACGAGGTGCAGATGGTCCCCCAAAGGAATAGCGAGATGAGACTGAAGTTGAGGAGTATCTAGGCTCATCCCTAAGATGCTGATATTTTAGGCCGTAGTCTGGTGGAAGTTGAGGAGCATACGGTGGATATGCTCTTTCATTTTCAGTACGAAATCTTCCAGTATCGCCTCTGATGTCAATTGCAGAATAGGGATCCCCTGCAAAAGACTCTCTGCCTGCCGAAGAGTATGGCTCTACAGGTGTTACCACCGTCCTTGGCAGAGAGAGATATCGGTTCACAAGAGAGGCAGTACTCTCGTCATAAGGATTATATGTATCCTTAACATGATTTGGTAAACCATGATTGGTAGGTATAGCTGAAATTACTGTAGTACTACTTTCCACAGCAGGAGCAGCAGTAACAGGTATTTCACCGCGAGCCTTGAGGCCATAAGTTCGGTACTCCCTTTCGCTTGGAAATAAAGGTTCAGAGTATACAGTTTCTTTCCGTGCTAAAGTTGCATCGCTACTAACACTGGCAGGATTCCTTCGGAGCTGCTCCCTTCCTTGTTCAGAATCAAAATTATCCAATTTGCGGTCAACTACTGCAAAAGCAGTAGGCTGCAGATGCTTTGCTGATTGAAGACCATAGCTTCTATATTCTTTCTCAGTGAGGAAACGGGGTTGACTTTCAACCTCTCTAGGGATGACATAGTGGCCTGCAAGCTGCTGCCTTTCATCACTATATGATGAAAAATTCTCACCTGCTTTGCTTCTACAGTATTGCATTCCGTATACATGATCCCTAGAAGGTTCCTCCCTAGGCAAAGGTGCTGCCGATGGTGGCCAAATAACTGGCTCAGACACAAAATGTTTGGAAGTTGGATGTAGCCATGGTGCAGGCCTAAACAGTTTTATCAACTGCTCTACCTGCTCAAAGGTGAACACAGGGGCCACAAAATTGACATCAAATTTTAGGTAGATAACACTCTTTCTCCAAGTACAACTTGTCAATGAGGGAGGTGTGTTGCTACCTGCTTAGATGTCAACTCAATCTTGAACTTGTGCATCCTTTCATCATAATTGTCTTTAATTGCTCTCTTGAACAAATTCTCAGGCAGTGGAAGGCAGTCCCTGTCAATCCTGAAGCGAACCTGTTGGATGACCAATAATCAGTAAATACACCTTAAAGACTGTGGAACAATATGAAATCGTAAGAATTTGCAATTAAAAATAAAAAGCACAGTTGACCTGGGCTGGAAAATCACCACCAAATGCTGCTGGTTCAAGTTTCATTCCACCAGAAGACGACGCCTCAAAAATACCATACATGAGCTTAAGATCAAAATCAAAGAGAAAAAGCTTGACACCGGGTTTGATTCCCATAATAATGTCTTTCTTCATAGCTGAGACACCCATCACATGATATCTAAAACAATCGTCTTTGGTCTTTGCATTGCACATGAAAATCACTCCACCGATACTCTTTTCAGTTTTTCCATCATTCTTCACATCTACACTCATTTCACTTGTACTTCTCTTTTCTTTGCTTCTACTGCTTATGTAGTGGGAATTTCTAGCATCTTTTTTATCAAAATTATCTCCTTGGTTGCCATCTTTTGCCGCCTTCTCCTTGTTTCTGGATAGAGATTGTGGAGCGCCCTCAGCTTCTATCATTTGTGCAGAGTTTAAGTTAGAGGACTTTTTTGCAAGTTTACCTTTAGCCTTTAGTTCCTTGGGGGTTTTATTCTCTCGAGGTACATTTCCAGAACTAGATGCGGCAGGATTATTTCTCTTTTTCTTGTTTTTCTTGGAAGCCATACTCGTCCCAGCTAGTTATTTCCCTAAGAAAAACTATAAACATGAAAGATAAATTCCTGAAAAGAGGTTTCATAAAACCAGGTATTTCTGCTAGCTACAAGCTAGAGACTGTTGGGACAGAGTGACAGACATAGTTTGTCATAAAATTTCTATAATAAGAGAATAGGTCTATTATGAAAGACATGCAGACCTACAAGGACCTGAATGCTTCTGAATTTACTGACATAGACGATTCATTTACATTCCACAATCATCACTTCATTAGAATCTATCTGCAACTCTATTTTTTATGATAAATAAAAAGACCCTCATATCATTCTACATAATGCGGCTCTTTAAGTGTTGACAGTTGCAGGATCATGGTCTCTCTTTCTCTCTCTCTTGTGGTATAAGAGTGGTGTTTGGCCAACTTTTGCGTACCTCGACAGTTCTACTAGGTGCCGCATCATCAAATACTACAGGTCAGGCGTAACTCTGTCCATTAAAGATTAGGGAGATGGGATAAAATCGCCATATTAACTTTTTTTTTTTTTTACCTCTAATCGATATGAATGCTAGTCTCCCATGGTTTTCATTACAACTTCATCAACTACTATGCCCCACCCTCGGGTGCAAGATCGTGTTGTCTCTGAACTACCTCTAACGAAAATCATCAAGTTTACAAAACTTAACTACCCTACTCCTTCAAAAGGATGAGGAAATAGCCAGTTGTCAACATTCTACCTCATGATACTTTTGTTATTTTCTCTTTTTTCATTCTCCTGACAAGCAGTTTTCAATAAAATGTATATGTGTTTATGAATAAATGTGTATTTTCTTCAATAAAGAAAAAGAGCAAAGGTGCATGTATGCAGTTAACTGATTGACTAAACTGCTCATTTCTGCAGTCACTCTCCTAAAGCAACAAGTAACATCTTGTTGGAGGACAAGAATTCAACTTTTATAAAACAGTTTTATGGCAATCCTAGATAATTAGTATCATCTTATAATACAACCTACTTTGTGATGACTATTCCCTTCATTTCATTTTATATGACTGTGTTTGACTGAGCACAGAGCTTTAAGAAAAAAAAGGAAGACTTTTTGCACATACCAAAAGTATTCTTAAAACTTGTGTCTTAAGCATTCCATGACATCTAAGAGCATGTCATTGAGGATAAAATAGGGAGTTTAAAGTTAAAGGTTCTTCAAATATAGAAGGTATCATTCTTTTTAGAAACAGACCAAAAAAGGAAAGAGTGTTATACAAAACGGAATGAGGGAGTAGAAATTATTAGTTATTGCAGAAGTGCAGATTTATCTGATATATCCTATCATTGTTGAAGTCTTTTATGTTGTCAAAAACTTATTAACGTTCGTCAACACTTCATAAAAAAGAAATTTTTTTTTGCTGAAGACTCAGACAGAGCTCTAATTCTGTCACATCACGACATAAATATTTCTCCAGTAACCTGATGTGACACTGTGACCAGTCGAGAAGAATCTTTTATTTCATACACATCCAAACTGTTCCATTTCTTTATGTTGCAGTTCCACTTCTACTGAAACATTTCCAACTAAGAGGTAAAAAAACTCAAGTCATTATGGGTCAAATACTCAGATATTATTTTCTAAATAAATGCTTTAGATGATTGGGGGCTTTTTGTAGACAATGGCAGATTGTCTGATAATGAGCAAGGATGAATGAACACATAACTTTTACCTTATAAAAACAAGGATGAATTGAACATATAATTAATTAGATGTTTTTTTATGAATGTCAACTAAGCATCGCAAGTAAATTGCTAACAGTTGTTCAATTTTTGCCTAAATGTCTACTTTTTGTATAGTTCTCGTATCGGTGTATTTTCCAAACGAATCAAAAGAAAAAAGTGGCTTTCTTTCTTTCTTTCTTTCTTTCTTTCTTTCTTTCTTTCTTTCTTTCACCTTTTCTAGGAGAGAAGCTCAGAAAACTAGTTTAAGCATAACTAAATGCCGACCATGAGAACTTTGAACCACATAAAATGCAAATTAACTAGTAAGATTCACAAACTATGACAAATCGGAAAAGGAAGCCTCGTTATGCAAAAAGGAGCAGCTACACAAGAAATTACAATAAAATATATAACATAATTTGGATAAAACCTCATCAGGAAGAGGAATTAGGGCTTATGTGCCAGTCAATTTCACCGGAGAAAGAGGGATACTTACCAGTAAAGTTCACCGGCGAAAGAGCGAGGGTCGCACAATCGACTTGGCAGAGACCAAATTGATGTTAGCCTCTTAGGAGGTGGGTTATTGGGCCGAAATCAGTCCGAATTTGATATCCTTCTGTTTATTGGGCTTCTGAATTTGGAATCTAGGATGGACCAGTCACATCCTTTCCTTGCCTCGGCACATAGTCTTGATCAGGGAAAATTACGACGACACATCAATCATTTACATTGAATTTATTATAAGTAGCTACACTTTCAGTAAATTTATTATTTATAACTATATTTAAATTTTATGGTAAATCCATAAATAAAAGACTAATTATTTTGCACTGAAATAAAAGAGCAATAAGCTCTTGTAGTTGAGTTGGTTAAAGTGCATGCTTAATTAGTACAGGTCTTAAGTTCGACTCTTTACAAGAACATTTTATTTTTTGTATATCTGTATTTCACCTTATTTGTATTTGTTGCGCAAACAAATACAATTAATACATTTATTCTTTGTATACACCCTTGTATTTCACCTTGGTTATAGTTGAGTTGTATTCTTTGCGCCTTTGAATACAAGTTAGTAACAATTGAATAGTAGCTAGAATAGTAATTAGGCAAACTATAGTTATTAAGCTCACAGTAGTGGTTTATGAAATTTTTTACCTAACTCTAATTTTCTTTTAAAAAATAAATTGATATTTAATTTGATCGATTATTTCGTAAAAATAAAATAGTTGTTCTGATGGAAAAAGTAAGTTATTACTTAAGAAATTAGTGGGTCCATCCTTACTCTTATTTTTAAGAAATACTTTTGATAATTTAATGGGATTATTATTTCGTATATTAGTCAAAAAATTATTCATATTAAAAATTAATTTAATAATAATTAATAAATATTGGTTTCAAGGAGAGGACTCATGTAATGATATCGAATTATATATGCGTTTTCAACTACTATATATATGTGTGTATTTATCCTTAAAATTGGATAACAATTGAACTTATAAGTGGTTTTAAAGATATGTGATTTCACTTGGCACAAACTGATAAATACGAGAATTAATATTAAAAATTAACAGTAAAATAAAGCAAACTAATATGATGAACAACTGTGGCCCTCGAGCTAAATCGTCCTCGAACCAACTGAGTATGCTATTGAAAAGTAAGAACTGAACAACAAAGCCTGTGAGAGAAAAAACGTAATGTATTGCTTGGTTATGTGTGAATATATGATATTTACAAAATGATTAGGACCCTATTTATTTAGTAGATGAATCCTATTTATGGCATAATTCTAATTACAGAAGCAAATTCCATGATAGGCCAAATAATCGGTCCTAACTTGATACGTGCCGAGATTTTCGCTACGATCCTTGCCCGATCAGGAATATCTCGGCCTTCTGTTGTTCGACTTAGCATGCTTCCTTCGATCTTGCTCGATCTCTTTCTTGCTTCGATCTCGACCACGGCTGGTCTCGATCTTTACCGGCCATTGATCTACGAGCTTACCAATCTATCTCCGTACCATGGTCCGATATAACCGAGGCCGAGCCTTGATCTGCCACCCCAATTTTGGTTAGTTATACAAGATTAGGCAAGCTCGATTTTGTCTATATACAGATAGTTCCCTCATTTTTTGGAGTGCAATGACAAAAAATGAATTGAGTCTTTGAACTTCCCCTCGGTTAATCACGACGTAAGCGACAGAGGTGACCGAAACGTCCCGTGGGTTTAGTTCCTTAGGCATTTAAGGCCCGTCAGTTACCCGTTGACAACTACCAGTATTAAACTGTCGTCTTCAACCTATAAGTACATCTTTCTTCATCTTTCAAACTTTACTTACAAATCATCTTCACTTTAATCTCCAAAATCTTTGCCTTCTTCAGAGCTCTATATTTTCAGATCTCTGAATCTCCTTACTTGTTTCATCGCAAAACACCAAGCGTTCTTCCGCCGTTTCATCCTTCTTTACTCATAAGAATGGCTAAAACTTCAAAAACCGCTTCATCATCAAAGTCCGTTGGCACCGCAGCCGCGGTGGAACATCCCCTCGAGGACTTCATTCGGATGAAGTATGCCTCTGCTGCTGATTTTAAGGTGGAGAATACACCCTCGACACCGGGTCGATGTGAACCAATGTCGAGTTACATGTGTACGATTACAGAAGGTCTCCCCGAGAAGGTAAAAGAGGAGTGCAACTGGATAGGCAAGGATGTATAGTGCCTAGTCCCGAGGAATCCATCACAACTCACATGGAGGGGTATCTGAGCGTCTATACCTACCCCTTCACGATAGGTCCCTTGACGTTATCATCTTTGCCTTTTTCAAGAGGTACAATGTCACCCTAGGTCAAATCCATCCGTCGTTCTGGAGGATCGTGATCCTCCCCCGATTCTTTGCAAGCAAAATCGAGGGGTATCCTTTTACCGTCGATAACCTCATGTGCATCTATATCCCCCCGGCTTTATCGTGGAGGCATAATCAAGCTTTACCGTTGAGCCGCCAAATCCCCGTTCTCGAGCATAGACGAGACCCGAGATCGAGGTTGGATGGGCAGATCTGTCCAAATAAAGATTTCGGACCTAATCCCTACCGAAGACCTGTCGTTCCCTGAAAAATAGAACATGAAGCGTAAGTATTGCTTTGCCTTTGAATATCTATTTTTGCCGTTTTGATTTTTGTCTTCCCCTTATCTAAGTTTTTTATGTTGCAGCTGTGGTTGTTGTGCCGGAAGTGATCCCCGACCTGAGGCAATGGGTCGAGGGATTGGTATCACAAAAATCTTACTTCGAGCGTGCTTGGATGGAGTTATCAAAGGGTCAATGGGAGGCCCGTAACCATGGTAATCTTCTTTCCTCAGAACGGTTTTCATTCGGGCTTCGTTCTTGTACTTATTCATCTTTTCCTTTTTGTAGGCCTCAGGAAGGATGTACCAATGAGGCCCTTCTCTACTAAAGAAGAGGCTTTTCTTTCATCATCTGCCCGAAGCAAGGCAAAGAGGAGAAAAGAAATGAGGCTCCGAGTTCCCCAGGCCCGGAAAAGAAAAGGCTGGCTAGGAGCCCCGTAAGCCCAAGGGGAATGTCATCCATGTAACTTTGGAGTCCATCCATCAGCTAAGGGATGAGATCGAAGATGAAGATGAAAAAGAAGAAAACTCTGGGCTGGTGGCTCGTGTGCGAGCTGGCACTGTGATTCATGGAATCACTGGACCGGCGAGAGCCGAAACTGCTTTACCCCGATCTGATGAGCCCGAGCTAGAACAAACTGAAGATGCCTCACCTCGAGATGGGAGGGCCACTGAAGATCAGTCGATGCTGAAGTAGAAAATGGGCCTGAGGCTCCCCAAAACAAAGACGATGCCTTGAAAGACCCACTTGGGGAAATAGAGATCGGGGGCTCCCCCTCGTTCCCTCCAGTTCCTGACTCGATGATACGTGACGTGATGCTCAAGCTGTGGAGACTTGTCACCGGGAGGGAGATCATGGAGATGAAGATTTCTTCCTAGGTTATTTCTCCGAGGTAGAAGATGTCACCGGTCTAGGTGATTTGGACGTACCGAGGAAGAGCTCGAGTGACGCTTCCTCGAGCTTTAAACTAACCAACCAATTCCCGACCCCCAGTGTCGATCCCGGGCATAAGTGGCCACTCATCATCTCTGTCCTGGAGGATGCTCGAGTTTTCTCTACACCCGTGGGGGTGGCTAGTTATCTTCTATGCTTGGTCACTGAACCAAGCCAAAATGGATGAAGTGGAAGTTGCTTGCTTGTTCAATGAAGCCCAGCACGCTCTGAATCGGGTAAGTTCGAGGGTCATTCCCTTATCTTTTTATGACTTTGAGTCGTAGATATTTGTAACATTTTCTCCTTTCCTTGTATGCTTCGGTGTTGAATCATGAGGCCTTTCTTCAAATCCGAGAAGAGCACAAGGCCGAGGTTCAGGGCCTTACCGAGAAATGCGATTCCTACAGGCTTCTCAGAGAGAGACTGAAGGAAGACTTGGTGACGACTTGAGATAAACATGTTGAGATGGCCGAGAAGGTATTCCGAGTCCTTCATGATTGTGAGGATGAGTTGGAGATAACAACTAACGATCCAATTCTGCAGGTCCGACAGAGTCTCGCACAAATCAAGGACTTCCAAAGGCAAATAGATAAAGTGTAAGCCGAGGCTAAAGAGTTCAAGGGATGTATGGACATATTGGCCGCACAGAAAGGGGTTGTCCAAGTAGAGCTGGATTCGGCCAAGTCTCAGCTTTGGTCTGCGAGAGAGGATGCCTTGGTTCAGGCAAAGAGGGTCGAAAAGCTCGAATCCCGTTCAGCCAACTTGGCCAAAGAGCTCGAGGTGGCCGCGACCAATATCAAGGCTCAGGCCAGTGCGACCCAATACAAGGCTGATACTGAAGCCACCCTAGCGCATGCCAAGAGCATTGTGGGCCATGCAAAGTGGCAGGCTCGAAGAGAGTCCTTTGAGGGGGCCTGTGATCAATGCTTTGATATGTCTGCTGAAATTGAGGTTGCCAGGGCAGAGGAAGCAAAGGCTCGGAAGCTGGCTTTTCTCAAGGAAGACTCCGAGGATATGAGTGGGTCTGGTGAAGAAAATTCTGAGGGTGAAGATACTTCCTCTGACAAGGATCATGCTGCTTAGGCTTAATGATTTTTTTCCTTTTATTTTTGTTTTTCCATCGAGGTCGTCCGACCTTTGTAAAGAACTCTCGATCGGGCAATGTGGCCCTTGTAAAATTTTTGATGAATATATGAAACTTTTTTCCTTTATGGCTTTTGAATCTGTTGCCCCTCTTTTTTGTTATCTCTTGTAAGGCTCGAAATTCCTTAGCATAAGATTTTGAAGTTGCATTCGAGGACTCGAGGTTCGGGATGGTGAAGGCCGATAACAAGCCTTACCCTTGACCGTTTTCAATCGATGAGCCCAGAATGATTATTCGAACTTGAATTTACGTAGCCCTTAAGCTTAGTAGTTGAGTGAGGACCTGATATCAAACCT